AGACTCCTATCTTTGGTGGGCAGACCTCAGCCCAGCTGTGACTGCTAGAGGCAAGACCACCTACACCCTGGGTCCCTTACAGCATCATTGATAGAGGGGGCAACACCTCCCAGGGCTGAAGTCTGGAGGATGTCTACCAATCTGTGGGTATTCTCCTGTACCGGCTCAGCTTAAATGCCCAGAACTGCAGCCATTCTCCTGAGCAGTTCCTGGTAGAACTTGAAATCCTCTGGAACTGGAGAAGCCAAAGTCAAGGCCACCAAATCGTCCAAAGAGGGTATTGACAGTGCTGCTGGAGCTGAAGGTGTCACCTGTGGTACGGTTTGGTTCTCAGGCAAAAGGTTAACCACAGAGGAAGAATGTAGTCCTGAACTTCCGCAACAGGCTGGTCCATGGCTTGGGCCGTTCCCCAGGTAAGGGGATCTTACATCCAACGTATGCAGAGAACTGGATCTGTGTGAATGAGAAGCACCCCTAGGCTGGGAATATCAGTCTAGCGTACAGCAAGAAGGCCAGTACATTGTGGGCCAGGCAGGTCTGTCTCTACTATAGAAATGTCTCTGCTTTCAGTATCAGTGCTTACTCCCTGGGTGTTTGGACGATGTATGTGATCTCATTTGCTGACGAGGGGAATGAGAAGAGTTGCAGGACACTGACCTGGAGTGAGAAGAGCTGTTAGAATAATCACTAGGTGTGATGGGTGCCCAACTGGCAGGACCTCTGTAAAACCTGACTTGTCCACTGTACAACATGGAAAAGGTAACATTGATACTCTGGTTGGCATCGTAGACAGTCTTGCCTGGGGTCCGGTACAGAGGATGGATCCCTTATTGGTGCTGAGGGGTCAGGATTCAGACCCCACCCTGATGTAGCTACTGATACTGAGGACGCTGGTACCAAGGCTGGTTTTGTAGACAATGCTGAGAGAGAGCGGGTGGAGCCTGCCTCTTCATTGGTACTGGAGCTGAAGGCAATCTCTGCCCCAAAGCTGAAGTCAATGAAGGGCCTGAGATAGCCTGGGGCACCGTCCCTTCACCGATATCTTGAGTTAGTGGGAATGCCACGACAGCTAGACAAAGCAAGTCTGAAGCTGCCAGGAACCTTGCCAGGTCGATGACACTGAGAGTGATGGTGCTGGAGTTTCCGTAGAGACCAGACTTGACACAGTCCCACGGATGGTTCTGGAGTCGCTGGCATGGCATTGGGATTCTCCCATCCTGATACTGGGCAGACACGGGTCTGTCCTGGGTACCAGACTTGTTGACAGTGAGGTCCTGCTCAACAATACTAATAAACTAACTAATCTAACAAACTATGGGTGCTAACTGCCAGAAACGATTTACACTAGGAAATACCGAATCACAAAGTGTGATGCAGCAAGGAAATCATGAGGAGATTCCAACACAGGGAGCTCCAACTCAAGCCACAGGCGGTAAGAAGGAAATGAGGGGGTTTAGGGAAGTGCCACCTTGATATAGCCTCGAGAGGACCCAAGAGGAGGTACAGAGCATGCATGCTTCCCCGACGGGTACTACAGCGGCAAAAAGTCTCCAGTTTGCAGTGCACAAGATGCCAGCACACTGGAGTGGAATACAGGTCTGCCCCCACTCCAAGCAAGAAGATCCACTCTGAAGGAAAATCAAACAGTTTTATAGAGATCCAAGAGGAAGAACACTTGATGTTAATTACTGAAGATCTAGAGCTTAACCATGTGAGGTGCAGAGAGACCTCAACACTCATGGAAGTCACTGGGGTGGCACAGTTGTAACTGAGAACGGATTCTGTTCCAATAAATACACGTCTCATTAGGTCTCTCAGTGACAGAAAGGAAGTGCATGATGATGGAGCACGTAGAGTCACAGAGTTTAAGGCCAGAAGGGGCCACCAGATCATCTAGTTGGCCCTCCGGCATATCCCAGCCCACCGACACCACCTGCACATGAAACCCAACAACCAAAACGACACCAAAGTATTACAGCCCACAGGAGACTAGACTATTGTGTGTCTCCGGGAGAGAATAGAAGGGAACAAAGAGCACCAAATGCCAGATACCTCTGCAATGGCAGGGAAATTATTGAGCTATAGCTAGATAATACTGACAAGAGACCTGTA